TTTTTTTTTTTTTCCTTTCTTCTTTTTGTATGAGAACCAGGAACTAGAAAGCATTAAATTAGAAAAATTAACTGCTCCTAGAAAAGGTGGAAGCCCAGAGAAAAGGGGGTTTGTCTTTTATGGTTTGCACTTTGTGAGCTGTGGGTGTGACTCAATTTCCTCACCACCCACATAAAAAGGTTGCCACCCAATGGCTGTTTTTTCTATCCCAAACCCCTCCCCTTTGATTTTGGCTAAGAGAGACCCTAAGAAAGACTGCCCTTTCTGGACGTTGCACACTGTGACATATAAAAGCTGTTAGCTGCTCCTGTAGCCAGCAGCCTTCAAACCTTGCAGACTTTTGCTCTCTGAGAGTTGGTAATAAGATACACTCCTCTCACAAGAGTTCATGCTACAACGTAGCAAAGAACTTTAAATTTTTGGAAGAACAATATATTCATTTTGGCATTGTGCAGAGGTAAGCTAGCTCATCAAGTTTCTATTGCATGCATTGATTTTAAAGTAGCTCACATTTTTTTTTTTTTTTAGAGAAATGAGATTGGATTACTATAACTTTTTTGTATGTATTCTATCCCTTGGTGTACCTGTATGTCTGGCAGACATCGCCAGCACATTCTCTGTTGTTACCTGTCATGCATTTGTCCTCTTCACTCTCAAGGTGAATATTCCTAAAGATTTCCCACCAAAAATAAATATGCAGTAATGCCTTTGGTGCTTCAGGCGTTTGGGGCAAATGGATCACATTTATTTTAGGGTTAATGGTCATGCTGTTTATTTTTCTCTCGTTATAAAAATTCCTCTTAGGGGTTTGCCTCATAATACTAAACAGAATGAAAACTCGACTAAAGGTTATCTCCTAGGCTTGAGTTCAACATGTATCTGGATTTTTTTTTTTTAGAAAGTCAAATCAAGAAATGCTTCCAAATGATAAATTTGTAAATTCATATTCTCTGGCCCTATTTTTTTTCATAAACCCTAACTCTACCTTTCTGCTTTAAAGCAAAGCAAACTCGGTGGCCTCCTCTTCTGCACCCCTCAACATGATAGCAATCTCTGCTGTCAGCAGTGTGCTCCTGCTCTCCCTTCTCTGTGAAGCAAGCACCGTCGTCTTACTCAATTCCACTGACTCATCCCCGCCAACCAATAATTTCGCTGATATTGAAGCAGCTTTGAAAGCGCAGCTAGATTCTGCGGATATCCCCAAAGCCAGGCGGAAGCGCTACATTTCGCAGAATGACATGATCGCTATTCTTGATTATCATAATCAAGTTCGGGGCAAAGTGTTCCCACCGGCAGCAAACATGGAATATATGGTAAGAAGAAATCTTTTTCTTTGAGTTTTGAGTGAGAATGCTTTCAACTGTATGTTAGAAAAACCCAAAGGAGCCCTGAGTTTTTACATGTCAAGGGCTATGGGCTTCTTACACGTTTTGACTCAGGCAAGGTTCCTATGTGCCTAAGAATGTTAAGTACTATTCCATCCTAGAATCGGGGTGGGGAGAGGGAGACAGAAGGAGAGAGAGGAACAGACACACCGAGAGAAAGAAAGAGAGAGATAGAGAGACAGAGGGAAAGACGGAGAGTGACAGAGACAATCTAGAGAGACTTCTGTGAGTTCCAAAACCACTGGGGAATCATATCTTCTATAGGGAACAAAGATAAAAAGTGGGGTATATTGATTGATCAAATTTGGGAGGTCTGTTTTTTAAAAGAAATATTTCACATGAAACTTTTCCTGTGCTTTCTTTATCTAGCAGTCATGTGTATCAGCTAAAACAGTTGTTGAGAATATTTCTTAAAATTATAGGTTTCATGTGTGTGATTTATTCTCTGGGTTGGTGTCTTTTCCCTTTCTTGGACAAACCTCTTACTGACATGAATCTATTTGTATTCTAAGAGAACATGCTGACTTTTCTCTCCTGGTGATTTAAGGCTTTGTGCTTCAGATAACAGTGAAGCCAGGGAGCTCTCAAGTGTTCCAGCTTACTATGAAACAGTCTTTGCTCTCTCTTAAAAATAGACTATGCTTAAGTCATTTCACTTAGGATGTGAAAAAAAAACATTGAGTTGGCACTCAAAGAAAAAAGTCTTGTTGATGGTAATTTTTAGTTTTGAGTTTGTATGCAAGGTTATGATTTAAAATCCGAAATCTTACATGATCACAGCTGGGAGCCTGTTCAAGGCAATGAAGATCACCAATGTGGGGTTTCCAAATTGGCGTGGGGAGGATGGGAAACTGGTATCACTAATAATTTTATAGGTGCTGAACTAAAATTTGGAGTTGCTATCAGATTGCCGATTAATCTCTTTATATAAATGAGCTTTTTAAGTTTGACTAGTTACAGATGCCAGGGTCATAGGAAAAACAAAGTCTTACCAAATAAAAATGAGACTTACTGAATAGTTGTACTTCTTAGTTCATCAGAATACAGTTAGACTCTATAAAAATGCATTTTCCTAGAATTTATTTTAAAAAAGGAAAGATGTAATAAGTCCTGGTGTATGAGGGGCAAGATAGACTCCTGATTAAGAATATGGGCCCTGGGACCTAAATGTTTGGGTTTAAACCCCAGTCCTGAAGTACAGCCTGTGTGAACTCATTACCACCACTCGATGTCATTTTCATCATCTCTCCTATGAAGGATAAAGGTCGTATCTGCCACATAGAGTTTTTGTGATGAATGTATGAAATGAGGAGTAGAATAATCAGACCACAGCCCATAGCTAAATCCACGTTCAATGCCATTAACTTCTGTGAGTTTCTTTGAACTTCTTGTGAAAGTGTTCAGTGAAAGCCCATTCAAGATGAAAAACTAGAAAGAGTTATTCACACAGAAAAGATGTTTCTAGAAGCTGATGTAGACATGTAAAAAGAGAAAAGGAATGTAGAGAAGCAAATTTAATGAGTTTAAGAAATTACTATAAATTATGAAAAATATGTATAAGATTCTCTGTGAATTTAGAGAAGCATAGTGTCTTGACCACGAGTTTAAGGAATTTGCAGTGATCACATCACTCTGCAAACCAAGGTGAAGACCAAGACTGCTGAGCCAGCTTTGGAGGTGGGCACATCTAGGTTCAAATTTTAACTCTGCCTTACTTAATGGGCTTGTGCAACTTACTTAATATATCTAAGCCCAATTTTATTATCTTAAAATGAGAAGGATAATATTCATAACCAATAAATAATGCAATTTACTCTTTTTTATTGTATCAAAGGTAGAGGGACCACCATGAGTAAAAGTGGAGGGAGGTACAACACAGTAGAAATAGGTTGAAATGAAGCCAAATTTTCTAGCTATATTTTCCCCACTTATCAAGAATTAATTAGTTCCCCATGCACTTATATAATTGCTTCATTGTGCCAAGGACTTGACTAATTGTTTCCATGGATGATCTCATTTGATAGTTCTTGTTCTCCATGTGAGGTTAAGATTGTAATCTTCATTTGAAACATGAAATCACTTAGATCCAGAAAAGTTAATGACTAGGAAATGGTGGTATGAATAATGAATGGTATTGCTGGAATTAGAATTTAGGTCTGTGCAATTCCAAAGCCCATGGTTTAGTGTAGAACATTTCTTTTATTTGCTAGATGTAGCAAATGATCCATCAGGGAAACCCCTGAAGATGTAAGCCTCCCTAAAATGCCAGCTAAAGCCAATAGTATTTATACTCTATCTATTTTTCCCTTCTTATTATTTTCTTCCTACATATCAAAACCACTATATGTGATTGTGAGGACTGGATACAATGCTGATTATGTAGGAGATAGTTTATACATCCTCCTTGATTCAGTAAAAGCAATGAGCAACAGTAGTCAGAACAGTAAATGCTCTAAAGTAAGATAGGGACTGTTTCAAATACTCACGTAAATGTTGTGCATATTCTTCATTCACACAGATATTTATCCATTTAATATTTTTTGAGCATTTACTATGCGTTAGGCACAATTCTAAGCACTGTGGATACATTCATGAAAAACACAGACAGACATCTGGGTCCCCTGGATGAGGAGTCAGACACTAAGCCAGATGAATATAAATAAATTAAATAGGATATTAGAAAATGGTAAGGTTATGAAGACGGTGTGGTGAGGTTTTGGTACTCACTAGATGTTCAGACAAGGTCTCCCTGAGAGGAGATCTTACACAGGCAGAGTAAGAAGCCAGGACTAAAGGCCTGGAGGCAGGAGAAAAACAAGTAGTTCATTTAGAAAAATGTGCTCATTTCAGTGAAATGATAAGTTAGAAGGAATTTTTGAGTAAATCAGTCACCGAAAATAATCTAGATGCCTCATGAAGACCCAGAGGGATATAAAAGGCGGCTTGGAGGCTGGAGCAGGGACTGGTAAGTGACATCAATTCTCCAGGCCAGGTGAAAAATGCAGATCTGTTACTTGCAGTTTAGTTTCTTTAACATTGATTAGGATTGTGAGCATTTGAAAGCTAGTGTTGTTCCTAACCTGTCCTATGAAACTCAAAAATTCAGGACACCCCTCACTACGATGACCTCACACATTTCTGTGCTCTGAGTCATCAGCGGCAAGTTCTAACTGTCCTCAGTGAGTGATATCACTCAAGAGCGCCTCCTAGAGGCTGTTCTTTGGCTCAGGGCTTTTATGGCGCTAACTTGATTTGGAATCCCTTTCATCTACAACTCTCTGAATCTTTGACCATACCAGTCTCTCTTCCTCCAAAGTCTCCTTCTTAACTTGTTCCTTTATTTACAATTCTACCTTTCAAGTTTTTGATATCAGAATGCTTCTCATACCCATGACCACGTGTGATTTCTCTTCCTTTGAACTGGGGCAGCCCCTTATGCCCGCCATATCTCTCCCATTACCTAATTTATGGTTATTTGTGAATTTCTAAGTTCAAGCTTTTAGAGTCCTAAGTCTATATTGATTCGTCTTTGATTCTCTGTTTTCTTGAACAATTTCTTGTGTGTAGATGATCAACCATTATTTGTTGAATTTAGTTGAAATCCTTGTGAATTGTTACATATTATAAGTAGCACCAATTTCAATATCTTTATGAATATTTTAATAGAAATTTCTTTCATCATTTATAATAATATTTTATCTCACACACTTGAAATAAAAAGCCCTTTTGATTACCTTTATCTTCCATAGGTATTAGGTTATAGTAAACAGAATAGATTTGTCTAAATAAAGCAAAAACAACTTAAACACCAGGGTGCTGATGTTTACATTTTGGTTCTGAAGTATTTTCTTTGGCTGTATTGTCCACACTTTTGGTAAAAATCAGTCAAACAAGCAAAAACACATTATTTGAAATATTTAATTTTCTAAACAGTATTTTTTTTACACAAAAATAACGTAGATAGAACTTAAAATGTGTAACTGAAATTTCTTTACTTTTGGCTTCTGTTCTACAATTAATTTATTGACTAATTTCCAGAGCTCCTTGGACACCAGATGTTTTTTATTCTTCCTAAAGGCAGCTTAAACCATGACTCTAAACCACAAACCACACGAGTTTTTTAGAATAAGAATTATCTCCAGAAGAATGAAATTGCAAGACCCACGTGGAGTAAAATTTGCAGGATGTTCTCTGAATTCAAATCAATTGAATAAATTAATTTAAAAAACTTTGAGGTTCCTCCATGAGAGGAAGAGATCCAAAATAACAAAACAAACTTTGTCTTTACAGTATAAACAATGCAGTTAAAACAAAACCACTAAGCATATAATTCAGTATAATACACTTCTGGGTAAGACTGACGTCATAAAGGGAGGACAGAGAAATGCCGTGCAGGAGTCGGAGAAGGAAGCGCTAATCTCTAGCTGGCAAATCATGAAAGGCTCCCCAGAGGAGGAGCTTTACATTCAGGAAGGGCAGGCTTGGCCGCTACAGCTGGCAAAACAATGCATGCACAAAATCACTGGGAGGGAACAACCTTAGTATACTTTAGACACATATTGGAGGCATTTGGGAAAAGATTGAGGATTTCTTAATACAAAAGCAATTGGGAGACTGTGATGGTTCTAGGGAGGGTAAGAGGTACATTTTAGAAAGATGACCCTGACTGTTGATGGAGCTGATATTGGCCATGAAAGTGACCAGAGAAGCAGTGACCACTGAGTCAGCAATGCTATTTCTTTTATTTTTTATTAATTTTTCTTACTTATACATGTGTATATTAGGTTTCCACTTTTGCCTTTGCAGAATTTAAAAGGCTAAATTTAATGACAATAACAATATTTAACATAAGGACTGAGAACAAAAACCTCATAAAGAACAAATGAAGATAAAAACATTCAGAAATCAGACGATTGCTGCAACAAAAT